CATGTATTTAAGTTGATTTTTCAATTCTCAAATTCACGTACGTGTCTATCATACATCCAAATGTATCTTGTGGAGTTTAGAGCCTATGGGAATGAGTAGGGGTGGGACTTCGGTCTGGCAGTTCGGTTTGACCTCAGTTTGAAACGGTTTCGGTTTGAAACGGTTCGGGTTAAAACGGTTTCATTTAGACGGCTGGTCGGTTCAGTTCGGTTTTGATTAGTCACAGGTCGGTTCGGTTTCGGTTTATTTTTGTACGATTTAAATTCGGTTCGGGTCATAAACGGTTCGATTTATAAACAGTTCGGGTCATAATCAGATCGGTTAGAAACGGGTCGCTTCAGGGGCGGATTTACTCGGGTCGATGCCGGTTCGGTTTTTAAACAGTTCGGTTAATAATCGGGTCGGTTTGAAACAGGTCGGTTCAGGGGCGGGTTTACCCGGGTCAATGCCCGTTCGGTTTATAAACGGTTCGGGTCATGATCTGACCGGTTTGAAACGGATCGGTTCAGGGGCGGTTTTACCGGGTCAACGTCGGTCCGGGTTCATATCGGTTCGGGTCATGAACGGATTATTTTGAAATGGGTCGGTTCAGGGGCGGGTTTACCCGGGTTAATGCTAGTTCGATTCATATCGGTTCGGTTTATACTCGGTTTGGTGCTAAAATCGTTCGGGTTAGTTTGGTAATCGGTTAAATTGGATCGGGTTGAAATCGAGTTCTAAAAAGTGGTTTTGACCAGTTAGCGCGTTTTTTTTATATCAAGTTGGGACTAGTATTTCCATTTCATTGGCGGGTCGGCATAGGTTGGTGAAAAAAATAATGGATCGATTAGAAATTGGGTTTTAAGAGATTTTTGACCGGTTATCTATTTTCGTTTTATATAAAGTTGGGACTTCGTCACTTTATTTTCAGACATCGGATTATATACAATTACACAAATCTTCATTTATTCAATTATTCTATATCATGTTAATATGTTATGTTTCAAGTTTGGTTATACTCTTGTTGTTGTTTATTCGATATTATCATATTAGTCTATTACAAATTTATAATGTATTAATGTATTATTGTTTCATTATTAAATATATATTATTAGGTTATCAGCTTCTTGTTGGATTGTTTTAGATATCGTGTCATGACCATGTTTTGATGAGTTGCTACTTTGAATACGATAAATCGATTCAGATATCAGATTATATAGAATTACAGAAATTCTCATTCATTCTATATCATGTTAATGTGTTATGTTTCAAATTTGGTTATAGTCTTGTTGTTGTTTATTAAATATTAGTCTATTACAAATTTATAAGGTATTAATGTATTATTGTTTCATTATCAAATATTATCAGGCTATCAGCTTCTTGTTTTAATTGTTTTAAAGATCGCGTCATAACCATGATTTGATGAATTGGTACTTTGAATACGATAAATCGATAATTGATATTGTAATAAACTAATAATTTAATGTTACAGAACTATATTTGGATGTTTAATTAAATCACGATTATTCAATTTCCCATTAGTCTAATAAAGTAATAATTGACAATTGTTTGTAACTATTCCATAATTTTGGTGTTAAAGTTATATTGCTGAATTACTTTGTTGTCTTACCCTCTCTAATCACCTTTTAAGATTACGTGCCTACAAGGCTGCAACATATATATGTTGCAACTTGCAAGTTAAAGAAAACAGGTGGGGAAGTAGAAGTATTCAATTAGATCGATCATCAACTGTTTTAAGTTTTAATAATCAGATACATTTATCGATTATCTATACATACCAATGATAGTATGATACCAATCGTACCATACATTATTATTTATTACATATACTGATATACATATAACTAATATACATTAAATATGTCATATTGAATCAATTTCAATTTCCAAACATTTGTGTTTCTTACAATTTATAAGTTACATAAAGTTAAGAGTACAGTAGTATTTTTATTAGTACGTAGCTATGAATAAAAAAAAACATACTATCCAAATCCATTATCCCATGATCCGTGTCACCGTCTTATATTAAATATCAGCCATTGATTTGCATGTCATCTAACGACCTATCATCGCACACATTCCAATTCACGATCCGTGTGTTTTCTTTTCCACCAATCAGATCACTCTTACCATCGTCTCTTTAGTACTCTTTTTGATTTCTCTCTCGTTTTCTTAATCCTCTTCTGTAATATTATCAATTTTTTGAAGCCATGGCTGCTAATATGCTCACTGCTCTCTCGTTTTCTCTCTCATCTCCTCTTCCTTCTTCCTTTCTTCTTCTTCCTTCTTCTCCCTTCTTCCGTCTATGTTCTCTTTTCTTCCATCTCGTTTCTCCGTCTCCGTCCACCGGCACCACGCACGACGGTTTTTATGGTCAAATTCGACCACGAAACTCTAGATCTAGTTGTTTCATGATCGAATTTGGCCTTTTAAAACCAAATTCGAGGCCAAATTCAGGATTAATATATAAGGTGTTTTCGTTCTTCCTTTTTTTATTTTCTGTTTTTCTTTTTAATTTTTTTCAAGTTGTGGGCAACGGAGGGGGCCGAGTTAGGATGGGTGCGGCGGCGGTTAGACTGGGTTCGGGTGGGTGGGGAGGGAGGATTTTTCGAGGGAGGGAGGGAGTTTTATGGTGGGTGAGCAATTAGAGTGAGTTGGGGGGTTTCGAGGATGTTGGGTTTCGTGGGGGTGGGTGGGGTGGGGTTACGGTGGGTTTGGGTTTTTTTTAGAATTTTTTGTATGGGGTGGGGTGGGGTGTGTTACGGTGACGGTGGTGGGTGTGGTTGGGGTTGGGTCTGGTTTTTTTTTTTTTTTTTTTTTTTTACAGTGACGGTGGTGGGTGGGGTGGGGTGGGGTACGTTACGGTGATGGTGGTAGGTGGGGTGGGGTATGGGTCTGGGTTTTTATTATTTACGGCGACGGTGGTGGATGGGGTGGGGTAAGGTTTGGGTCTGGGTTTTTTTATTTACGGTGGGTGGTGGGGTGGTGTGGGTTACGGTAATTATGGTGGGTGCGGGGGTGGTGTTAGGGTGGGTCTGGGTTGACGTTGGTGGGGTGGGGGTGGGTTACGGTAACGGTGGTGGGGTGGGGGTGGGTTACGGTAACGGTGGTGGGTGGGGGTAGTGTTAGGGTGGGTCTGGGGTGACGACGAGGGTGGTGTTAGGGTGGGTTACGGTGGTGGGTGGGTGGAGGGTGGTTGGATTGGGTGGGTGGCCAAATTTTTTCATTTTTTTATTTAATTTATAACTCCTAATTTAGTTATACAAGAATATAATTTTAATTTTATAATAGCAAAAAAATTTACAAATTTAAATCAATAATTATATGTAAAAAAAATTGTACTGTTAAATTACATTAAACATCAAATATATTTCATGGAATTCTAACAAATTGTTAAAGGCTGTAAATAGTTCAATTTGAATGGAACGGGTTGTAAACGGTTCGGTTTAAATAGTTTGTAATCGGATCGGTTTAAACGGGTTGCGGTTTGAAAATAGTTCGGTTTAAACGGTTTAATGGGTTATAACAGTTCGGTTTAAACGGTTAGCGGGTTGTAAATGGTTCGATTTAAAAGGTTTTTTCCTACGGTTTAAACGGTTTCGGTTTATAAACGGTTCGGTTTAAACAGTTAGCGGGTTAACATTAATCGGTTCAAACGATTTCGGTTTATAAACGGTTTGGTTTGTTATTGGTTTACGGTTCGTAACGGGTTAACATTAATTGGTTCGGTTCGGTTTCGGTTTGACATTATACAGTTCAGTTCGGTTTTCGGTTTAAAATTAGCGGGTTATAAACGGTTCGGTCCGTGATGGTTCGGTTCGGTAACGGACGGTTTCACGGTTCGGTTTGAAAAGTCCCACCCCTAGGAATGAGAATGTAAAATCGTGTGTCATGCTACATTCAAACACGGAGTATAATTTGTAGAGCACGTGGGAATGAAAATGTGAAAGGATGTAAAATTATGTTCGTGTATATATGTGCAATGGAAATAATTGTATTATAGATTTTTAAAATGTGGATTTGGGATAAAAACCAGTGTTATCTTTGATTGATTCAATGATTTTAAAATTAATTTGCTGGTAAACTTTTCTTGGAAAGATTTTCCATGGGAATTTGGTCAAAAATTGGGTGCTGCTTCTTACCAATTTTCGAGGAAAGTTTAACATGATAAGTTTGATATGGTTTGATATGGTTTTAGTGTTATTTTCGAGGAAAGTTTAACATGATAAGTTTATTTTTATCCATGAAAAACTATTTTGCTATGAGAATATGTGAAAGAAATGCGTTCAATGAGGAAATTTTTAAGTATTAAAGAACTAGTTATATATGCCCCTTGTTACTTTGTAGATCTAAGTACCCTTGGTTAAATCATTTGTTTTTATTATACAACTAGTTGTATCTTGTGCGATGTTTTTTTCCTTGTGTAATTTGCTCATTTAGGGAGCTCTAAATAAGCGCACTCAGTTGTATCATGTGCATGGTACACGTCTTGGTGATACAATAGTATACAAAAGTACAAAATGAAAACATGCTCAGGGAGATTGTCTTGCTGCTTTATTTGTTGCTTTGGGTTATTAAGAAGCATCCCAATAGGCGATGGCCATACTTGTTCGATTTGGGTACCGGCGGGCCTTGAATTTATTTAGTAATGCGGTAGGAACGAACTCAAATATTTTATTCACAGTGGAACTTAAATTGTGACAAATTCAAAGGTATTTTGCCCAAAATTAACAATGGTATTAAGGAATACACTGCATAACAAATATATTGATTCTCTTCTCCATCAATGAGCTTTATGCTATTATGATAATTACTCCCTTTATGTTCATTAGTTAGATAATATGCTAGAATTTCAACTTTTGTTTAGACAAGTATTTCATACATTAATTAATCTCTAAGGTTTTGTGGTGCTGAAAAGTTGGATGTGGGAGATGTTCAGCCAAGATATTCACCATTTTCTTGGCGTGCCTGTCGGTCTTGCCAGCGTAATCGAACATGAAATGACAGAATACAAGGAAATCCGGAGACCAGCCATTATCACTGCAGGATTCTTTGCGTTGCTGGCATCACTTCTCTCCATCGTTCTGATATTACAACATCTAAGAGCTTACAATAATCCTGCGGTAGACTCTTCACCTGTGCCTTACTTTTTTGATGCGATCATTTGTGTCATATTTGCATTGCTGGTATGATTACTGATTTTAACTTGAATGCCTTAAATCAGATAAGTGATACTCAAAATTTGATTGACATGAATTTATCATAGCAGCATAACTAGAAATACGAGAAAAGATTACTACAAAAGATGTAAGCAATCAAAATAACAAGTTTTCAATTCTAGGCTAGTTCATTGCATTTCACTGACAACATTTAACCAATGAAAGGATAAAGTGTAAAAAAATGATACACATTTAAAATCAATGGAACCATAGATAATGGACAATGAGTTTTTAGAACAAGTAAAATAGGCTGAACATAGTGAGGAATCTAATGTAGGCTGGTTAGTGACAACATATGGTGTGCAGTAAAGAAGCTTCAACGCAGGCAATTTTCAGTTGTTATAGAATTTTACGTGTTTACTAGAAGTTTGTATCATTTCACAGTGTTTACTTCAGCTGTTACACTTCACAGCCTTCATAGACTGCTACTTTTCTGTGTCAATTGAAAATGTACTGTAATGACTATTTTAATATGAAAAATTCTATCCAGGAGCAAAAATGGGTTGTTGCCATGCTTCTCATAGTTCCTATCTACGCCACTGAGTCAGTAAGTAGTATCGGTTATGATTTCTGATTCCTGATAAAAATTATAGTCAGTAACGGAGGTGGGGCAGCAACCTAGCAGGAGGCTCTGACTCTCTGGTCTATTTTATCGCTCTTAAAAAAAATTTCTCTTTTCTGTTGTTTTTATTTTTGTTAAATTTCAATTATTCTTTAATTCTCCCATTCCACCTGATAAGAAGGCTACAGGTAACTCCTGAAATGAAATTTGTAAGTGTACTATAAGTGACTGTTACAGATCATCTGATTAATTAATTTTCTCTTTCAGATTATATCCTTGTCCAATCCTAAGACTTCTCTAGCTTGTGATATTTTGAGAAATTGCTATGAGGCGTATGCATTGTACACTTTTGGGAGCTATCTGATTTCCTGCCTCGGTTAGTTTCAAGTTTCATCAGATTGGCAGACTGAAAGAACCAGTTCTTTATAGTTCTGTTAGTTGTTATGTTGAGCCTTAGAGTTTCTCAGCTGAAGGTGCAATTGTAGAAATTGCTCATTCTTTGTATCATTAAGTCATTTATCATGTTGTACAATTCACTTGTAATTGTATTTGTAGGGGTAAGAAAGTAGTCTGCCGCTAAAAATTTGGTTTCTCTAGCTAATTGTGAGAAATTTGTTGCTGATCATCTATTTATTTCGATTTTTTTTTATGTTTCTGATGACTTTTGTGCTGTGCTGAAGTGTGAAATTTATCTCATGGCAGGTGGAGAAGAAAGAGTTCTAGAACTATTGAAGAATGAATCAAGAAACGTACTTAACAAGCCACTGCTTGAAGGAGGAGACGCAGAACCAGAATTGTCACATCCATCCTCATTTCGTAATTTCTTTCTACGGCCAACTGAACTTGGAGAACAATTGTTTTCTATAATTAAATTTGGTCTGGTACAATATGTAAGTATCTCTGCAGTTTCTGAAAATTGTGCTAAAGTTATTGTCAAACTAACATCTGCATAGTAACCAGATGATTTTGAAGACAGTTTGTGCGTTCCTAACTTTTGTTCTGGAGGTATGCGGTGTATATGGTGACGGTCAGTTCAAGTCGTATTATGGGTAAGCTAACTATATACAGAAATGTTGACAGACAGTATGCTTATGATACTACTCTAGTTCAGTTTTATCCAACTTTTAATAATGCAGGCTTAGTTTCTTTTCCCATAACTTGCATTTGTTTACAAATCTACACTAGAGAACAATGAATTCAAATTTACAATTTGTTATATCAATGGAATAGGTATAGTTGTATGCCATATTAGTGAGCAGCATTTATAATTTGTGATGACAAATTGCTATTGTATTCGACTCTGATATTAGTCATCAGTGTCTTTTCAGGTATCCATATATTACAATTGTACTGAACTTCAGCCAAATGTGGGCATTATATTGTTTGGTTCAGTTTTATAATGTGACTCATCAGAAACTCAAACCAATAAAACCGCTTGCAAAGTTTATTAGCTTCAAGGCTATTGTGTTTGCTACCTGGTGGCAAGGCGTTGGAATTGTACTCCTATGTACACTTGGAGTTCTGCCTAAAGACGGGATAGTTCAGACTGGTTTGCAAGATTTTTTGATCTGCATAGAGGTAAGTATGCAGTATCCTGCTGGGGTTTTTAAGAGAACTGTTAAATTACCTTTATAACCTATGCCATTTGAATGAATGTACCATAATAAACTTTTTTTTTATGTATTACTATACACGGGAGCAAGTTTTGGTTATGGCATATGGCTGTATGGGTACCATCTATGATGTTTTTTTTTTTTTTTGACAATGTTGACTTAAAAAGATGCTAGTCTTGTTTCATATATCATCATTATAGAATTTGACTTGTTCACAGGCTACGTGCACATAGTTATGGTTTGTTATCTGCACAGATGGCAATAGCTGCTATAGCCCATGTCTATGTCTTTTCCGCAAAGGCCTATCATTCCATACCAATTTCTGAGTATGGAAAATTAGCACCCGAACTGAGAAAACAGTCGTTGACATAGAGAAAGGAAAGGGCAAAGGACCAACTATGATTGAGAAGACTGAAACTGAGGTCAAAGCTCCTGGAACAAGCATCAGTGAGAGTGTGCAAGACATCGTTCGTGAGGGTGGTCAGCAGGTATAAACATATGCTGTACTGGACTACTAGTTATTGAAGGGTTTTCTACACCCAGAAATGGGCATTTCATAGTTAATCAAATGTAGTGCTTCAATATTTTCACTACTGAATGAATACATGGCAGGTGGTTGAGGATGTAAAGCTGACAATAAACCAGGCAATAGAGCCTGTCGAGAAGGGTGTAACGAAAATCCAGGAAAGCTTTCACCAGATAACAGTTGGTTCTGAGGACAAGCAAGAGTCTGATGTGGAGATCGAGGAACGCATTGAGGATGATCGACAAGGAGTTGGCAAGTCTCAAGTTACACCCGAAATGATGAAAGTCACCAAAACTGTAAATGGAAATTCTTGATACATATTTCTATTTTTCTCGTCTTCCTTTTTAGGTATGGTTCACTAGGAAGCTGTAGCAGATTTTTTTTTTTTTTTTTTTTTTTTTTTTTTGGGTGCGTAAATGTATACATTATGTAGGTGATTTTGTGCTAGAAAAAAACTAATATGTACATGGGCCAATGTGTTATAGTTTTGTTGGACCAATATATTAGCGATTTTAATCAAATCATGATGCAAAGTTGCACACATCAGAGAGTATAGTTAAAATTACGACCTACGGAGTAATGTTTTTTGGTGTATAGGGTCAATAAAGGACAGTAACACAGTTTGACATGACTCGATCTTATGTATGGAGTATAGATAAAACACTCCAGAATTTAACAAGTTAGGTCCTCATCCAATTAGCTAGTGCACAATTGAAAAAAGGGAATCGCAAGTTAAACTACATACGGTTTTTTATATATATAGGTCTCATCCAATTAGCTAGTGCATAATCGAGAAAACCATCACAAGTTAAATTGCAGTTCATTCAACATAGATCACAAATTGATATAATGATGGTTACGTACACTTAGCAAGGTTTATTTTGAAAATTGAGAGGGGAAAAAAAAAACCCAAACTAAATTACAGTTCTGTTGTAAACAAGGATTAAATATGGAATCAGATAAAAATTATCAAAATTTGAATTTGGAATATTTCTATAGATCATCAATAATAGATAGCACTTCTGCTGTATACAATGTTTTTGCTAATGAAAGTTGCATAAATTGAATAACTCAGCTATTCTCATATAAGTGAATTTATTTACTCACAAAATCTCAAATAACTAAAATAGAAAAGGTAATTTACAGTAAGAAACTAACCTATAACACAATTCCCTAAAAAGTATAGACATAATTGAAGTGAGATTACCATGTACTGTACGGTCTGTAACATTTAGTTATTGTTTCCTGAGCAGCATATTTCTGAACAGCATGCAATGCAGCCGAAACAAGCGAGGGATGTGAAAAGCTGGGTGAAAACAATCGCACATTGGTTATTGACCTTTGAACATGCCTGTACACAGCACATACAACAGCAGTATCCACACATCGTTGTGCAGCAATCTGAGGCTGCCCTTGCGAACACTTCAGCTGGTTCTGGCATTTTTGGTTCTTTAAAACCTGGAGGGATATTTTCAGCGGTTGCCTTCTTATTTCCGAACCCAATGCCAATATTTCTCAACACTTTTAGTTTCTTGGGCTTAGGGTCTGTCTTCTCTGCTTCACCTTTGTTTGGTGTTTTCTTCTGTTCACAAACAAACACACTACTATAAGTACAGGCTACAAACCTACAACATAAATGCTAGTCCACACCCTCAACATTAAAACGTTGAAAAACACCTGAAATATGCTCATGAATACATGAAGATCTCAATCTATTTCAAAATCCTCGAACTGGTGTGTAATTTCAAGTATTATGACTTATGAGGAATGCCTGAGGCCCTGAGATGTGAGCTCAAAAGTCATTGGACAAACAATATGTAGATCTAGCAATTTTCCTTCTAGGTTACGCGTTTTTAACCAAAAAAAAAGGGTTGTGCCACATATTCCAACTCTCTGATGTTACAAGAGGTAAGGGTATTGGGTCTACAGACTAATGCAGCATTCAAAATGGTTTTCTCTTTCCTGCTAACTGCCTCAGCACTACCAGGTGCTTAGTAAAGATTCCAACAATACTTTGGAGGGTGGACATTGGAGCAGGAATTCAAGGTTCTTGAGACAAGCCATAATACCAGGATTAACAAGTGACTAAGTGATTCATAATATAGTAAGTGACTATAGATGTCTCAACAATACCTGCTTTGCAATTACTTCTACCTCTTTATTCAGGGTCTCAGTCATGAATATGGCCATGGATGTATATTCTGAGACAATGCCATTTTGATTGCTCAGTTTTGCAACCTGCCAATCAAAGAACAATTGCAGACAATAATTAGTGTAAATTACAAACTGCTATAAATTACGAGTATTGAAGAATTGTAGTAATGAACTGCTGTACAGATGCTACCAAAGGACTAATATGATCTTCCAAGGCCTTATATATAACCCTTAAACAGATCCGGTTCATACAGCATCAAAGAGTTCACAGCATCATTGTTTGAGTATCTCATCACCATGGTTTATGCAAAACTCTCTTTGTATGTGTGTTTAATTACTTATTTCAGATCAGATTTTAAAAATAAAAAAAAAATTGATCAGACCTTATCATATAATTTTCAATTTTTTATTGTCAAATATCTTTAAATTTGTAATTAATAAAATCACGAAAAATACGTATTTGGAAAATATAAATTTATACAGATCTAATAAAACCTCATTTAATATATTTTTCCCTTATGGATTAGCGTACATATAAAGGTCAAAGTTAGTCAAATTAAGCAATCATATCAAAGCAGGTAAAAAATAAGTTCAGATGAGATTAGCAACAATAAAGTTAACTAAACATAGCAATGTAATACTAACAGTACATGGCCAAATTAAAAGTTCATGTTTATAACACAACAGGTCTACTCTTTTGCATTAAGATATCACGTGAAGTTAAATTCTTTTTTGAATTCAAACCCAAATCAAGTTCTTTTATCCTCCCCAAAACTTCTTTGCATTTCTCTCAAAAATAGCAAACCATATTTTCCCTAACGACTCTGGTTTCTGATGATAGATCTGTTCTGATGAATAATTAAGAATTTCCAACTTTTATTGGTCATAAAATAATATGTAAAATTTTCATATTTGTCTTTTTTGAGTTTGCAATTTATGTTAACGGAGCAATATTTGTTACATTACTTACAAAGCACTATTTTCCTGTTTTTAAAATTATTATTTACATACTTCTCTCTCTAAAAATACAAGTCTATGCATAGCCGGTATATTTGTAAAAAAAAAAGATCCAAACGGATTAAACCCGGAGCGGACCAAAAATTAATCAGTCCAAAACCAGCCTGGAAGAACAGCCATTTTTCAGTGGACCACGGACCAGAATAATTCCGGTCCAAACCAGAATTTCAGGGACTGTTCCATGATTTTACACTTCTAAAATAAATAATATTTGCAATTTCTTTTCCACAAGATTGTTAGTAGCATTTCATATGTCCTAATCACAGTACACTAGTACATTATTTTCACTAATAAAAAGTATAAATCATACGAATAAGATTTTAACATAGACCTTCACCCAAAAATATGTTTAAGGGATACCAAGTCCCTGTTCTGGACTGGATTTTTCCAGGTTTAGAAAACCGGAATCAAGGATTTTCAAGGACCAGAGACTGGGCCCTTGGTCCTGTCCATGTCAGGGTCCAATCCATTCCAATCCTGACAAAACTGTGCATACCCCTACTAGCAGTGCATGCTTTTTGTATATGTTATATACAAGTCCTTTTTCATTATAACCAATAGCTTCGTTGTTCTTTAGCTCTGAATGTTATTGGACCCAGTTAAAGAACAAGTTAATTCTTCTGTCTTTTTATATTGCAAATTACTCCCTCTGTTTGCGTTCTTGCATTTTCACAACACATGCACATCACATGACACTATGACAGGGGAGGGGAGGGTTACATACATGTATTTAGATATAAAAGTATTTATATATATGAATGTGTGCGAGAGACAAAAATGTACTTGCAAAAACATAATATATACTTCGTAGAATATACAAAGTGTCCAGGAGATATACTTCAAAAAGCACCAAAGATAAAGTAAGGTACCTTTGTCTCAAGTTGCTTATCCTCCAAAAACCATGCTTCAGATGTGCACATGGTAATTTGCTGCAAGGCCAATATCTGTAACATAGAACAATCAGCCAAAAAAAAAAAAACCGTTAAAAATGTATGCAATGCTAGTTCATTTTTGTCAGGAGTATAAACTATAGAGACCCAAAACGCGCATGCACTTATTCTATGTATTGACAATGGCTACTATACTGTTTTTTTCATGAAATGGTTTGGTGACTCAGAACAAAGGGGTCATATAGTATAACTTAAATGCTTCATACTTGTCATCTGAGGAATGTCATTTAATACCAGACTAGATAAGTTGTTCTTTACGCAATTATTCTAAATTAAACATAATAGATTATTGATAAAATTGTGTTGCTTTATTTTCAAAATTAGAATAAAAATGCTATCAGCATGGAGATGAGCAGATCTCACAATGGTGGACTAACAATGATGTCAAGACTCAAGATGAAAAAGAGGAGCAATTTTTAGAGTTTATGAGGTTTCCATCCTTGAACTGTTTTTAGTTTTAAAGGCAGTATTTGATGAAACATCAAAGTACCAAACAGATATAGGTGCATTAATGGTTAGCAGTATTCGATGAAATATCAAATATCAAACAGATATATTATCTAAGGTGCATTAATGGTTAGCCAGGTTCCAACAATCCCACAATGCCAATTGACACATATGACATACGTTCGATAAATGGCAACGCAAAACCTCCAACAGACTCAAAATCCAGAGAAATAAAAACAGGGATGACATCTTACTTTATCAAGAGGGATTGCCTTTGACTTGTAAACCTTCAGATTTAGCTCATAGCATGTCATGTCAGCAATAATGCCTCTTGCTTTGAAAACTTCAGGAAACTTCCCACTGTATCTTCCTGATATTGTCAATGGGCTTTGTGATGAAAGATCTGGAACATTGATTGGGTGCACCTGATATTTTGATTGCAAACAAATGCAATGGCATTCAGTAGACTAATAAGCATGTTATCAACTAGGACATAAAAATCATGACATCTTACAATTAGTCCATCAAATATGCAGCTATCACACTAGCTCATTTAGTGTAAATGTTAGCAGAAGAGATTAAATAAAAGAGCTTTTACTCTGATATTACAGCACCTGACCTATCAAATACAATAGTTTCAAAGACATGCATAACTGAACTTTTGGGAGATATAAACAAGTCTAACACCAAATTAGTCAAACTCAGGTACATAAAGCAATGTTACAGCTATAATGCTTATAATTTTAGAAATGAGTGTCAAACTCCGGACTGGACTCAAGAATGTGACACAAAGTTTCAATTCATTGATACACCAAATGCATACTTTACTTTGTTATACTACTCCATAGTTGGACCTCTCAAGGAGCATGAATGGGATCTGTTCAGAACATTATTGCCAAACCTATCAGTTTCACTGTACCTTTTATCTCTATATTTCAATTAAAGGAACAGAACTCCATGTTCTAGTATTCTGAATGTCTGAGATATACAGTGATAAAGACGTCATTTGAGACCAAATATAACCCTTTGGCCTTTCCACAACTTGATATCAAAGCTATGAATATATAGATGTAGTATACAGGAATAAGTTAGCACAAAACTAAAGATATGAACTCATATTTTTAACTCTTAAAGCATACCATAAAAAACAGTCTATAGTGGGGAGCCTATATAATTCTATGAGCAATATGATGCAAACAAGTTCTGATGTCCACAATCCACAAATAAGAAGATGAGACTAACCTCGGCATTATCATGTTCATCTAATGTGTCGAAAGTTATGTTTGTGAACACAGTAGATGAGGCTGTAGTAATTAATTTCTGCAAACGAGACTCTATCGAATCTGAATAAACCAAAAACAACAAAATAAGAATCAGAGTCAGAGTTGAAAGGCTCTTCCTGCATGAACAACAATAATAAAATATAAATAAATAAAACATTATTCCTTTTCTCTTTGCTGCAAGATATATTTTCACATTAACATGAGCCTGGACGCTACATAAGTAACATGTTAAATATACTTGTGACGCTTTATGTGCCAAATCTCTAACTACAATTGTTACCCCAGAAGAGAATACAGAATGATTAACATGACAATAAAAATATATATATTAAATGAAATTCCATGAAATTATAGATTGAAAAATATTAATGGTCAAAGTTCATCCTCAAAAAGCAAGATCAATACTATAATATGGAGAGAGTAAAAGCTCAAGAAACAAAAAAGATATCATAATTCAATCTTAATGATTATTACCATTGTAGCCTTGGGGTGTAATTTGGGAGAAATAGAATGGAAATTATTTTTATTCAATTCCTTACCTAACAATTGTGAAACGAATATGCTTCATTTAGTTCCAAACCAATACACAACGGAATGCTATTATTCATTCTGATTTTCCCCAAGTTAACCAGTAACCACAGGGACTCCAATATGTTCCAATATCCAGATGTTTAAATGTAACTCTTAGTTAGGCCCTTTATTGTTTTCAAAATCAATATTATAATAATATTTCACATTATACTCTAGATGATTATAGAACTCAAAGGACACTTATCATAGATTAGTCAATTGGAAATTTATTTCAGTTATTTTTAGATATGGTTTAGGTATGGTTTGGGATTACCAAATTCTATTGAATATTATTGTACATTAATTCACTCGTCAATTTCTATTGTCCTCAAATTTCCTCCTCCACACCCCAAAAATTAACAGAAGAAAGGATTTCAAGGGGAGATAATAAAAAAATAAAAAATAAAAAAAGGGTTACACAACATAAATATGATGATTTGGACAGCAAAAGATGGACACATAGGCTACTTTTTTGTATCATCTGACTGCAAGCAGACTCCATAACTTGGAGAGGTTTCAAATCAAAAACCATGAGAGTATGAGACTAACCTGCGTTATAGGCAGCTTCATAATGACCTTGCCCAATCATTGCCAACATTCTCAAAAAGTAATGATTACAATATATACCTGCATTCAGTACCATATATGAGTTTCAGATACACCCATTTAAAAAATAAAGGGCTCCTACACCAATAGGCAACAACCTTTCCCAGAATGTGTTCACTACCCACTAAAGTTATTTTTAATTTTGTGTTTCAATCAACAACAGCGGGTTGATGCTGATGCGGAGTAAAAAGAGGGGGCCAAGATTTCTTTGCAGTTTGCACCAACAAAAAACAACACTAACACATTGCATAACTGTACAATTCACATAAAATGCAACAAAGAGATGGAACATTTTCAACTACATCATGTATAGCATCATAGTCTAGCATTGAAATCTCAATCATAATAAAGATGGGTTCCCTTGTGAAAATCACAGAAATAATCAAAGAGACCCAAGATATTGTAGTGAAATGCAACTTCACACAATGGGTATTATTAAGTAAGATATCATCATATGCATCAATGCATGGAGTAAACAAGATGGTACAGCCAATCAAGTTTTCCCACCTCCTGCCATAGTAGATCCAATTGGAGCACATTATATCTAATCTTTGATATATTCTTGAATCAAAAAGCAAGGAATATCAAACAGAAATGAAATAGAGAATGCAATATACATTTACAACATTTATGGAGCAATGCAGTTTATTTTGTACGTAAAATGTTTTATCAAAACACAATATCATTACCAAGAGCACCATCAATGCCACAAGGCAAGAAAGAACAGTATTTACCAATTCCAAAGGTATGTATGCGTGGAGATATGGCTTTTGTATTGGAGAGACGACTCTTTGCAACCTTGCATATACGTCTCTCATCTTCAACAGACCCATCAGTAATCAGAAAAATCATAGGTAAGGATTTCTGCGTATCTGATAACATCTCCATCGCCTGTAAACAAAAGGGGGATATTAATCTAAGTTCCTCAGCAAAAAGTATAAAAGGAACATGATGGATCTGGCAGCATATCTGCAGTAGCTCATATCAATCTCTTTTTATGTATATATGAAAATTATTTAATTAAAGCAGCAAGAGATGCCCTCACACAGAAATGCAAAACAATTAAACAAATCTACAAATTAGTCTAGTGCCTATTGATCTCCCCGATTGAAATTTTATTCAAAGCACCAGATGCCTTATCCCGTAAAGATGCTAGCAATGTTAATGCATCCCACAATAAATCACACAGAATAGAAACTACAAAGTCCATTCCAATCAAATGCCCCACAAGATGCCACCGTAACATTTTTTCTGTAGCAAATTAGTCTCCTTCCCCTCTCCAACCCTACAAAGTGACCCTGTGACCACTTCTATATTGAAGGACAAACCCAAGCCTCTTTGACTAACACCAAGAGTCTTTTCCAAAGATACCATGCAATTTCACAGTAAAGAATAACATGTGAGCAAAGACACACTGATGGTTAGGCATAGCAAGCATATGTCAGGTGTGATAGCCATCCCCAGCTGACATGTTTGGAGCACATCAATGCTGGTGTGCCTTCTCAAAGCTAAACCTTGACAAGCAGGAACATGCAAGGCCCAAGCAGACTTGTATTGGTCACACACTCACACACAATGCAGAAATATGAAACTGAATGAAAGTCAAGTATATAACACCAGAGTCCAAATTTAATGACAAGATGCATAAGCAAACCCAGAGGTTTCAGTCTGTTGACAATAAACCCCTTTCAGATTTTTGCATTAATATATATTTATTTAGTCATCTGAGAGAGAAACTCATTCATGAAAGAGACAAGAACAACCTTGTCAAGAGCAAGAGAGATCTCGGTGCCATCCCCGACCAGTAGAGTGTCATCCATCCACTGTATGGCTCTTTCAATGGTCTCCAGGTTAGCATGCTTTATAGATGATGAAAACGGAAAGGTCGTTGCATTAAAAGCTATTATGTTGAACATATCTTCAGGAGTAAGCTCAGAGAGTGCTGCACCCAATGATTTTTTGGTAGCCTCAAGTGGCCTCCCTTGCATGCTACTACTTATATCAACAACATAAATGATATTTCTGGCAAAAACCTGGTAAAAAGGAAACATCATATTAGACAATATACATCCTAGAGAAAAGGTGCAAATTTCAGTGCATATTTTCTCAAGATTAATCTAGACAGATGGAAGCCAACATGATGCAAAGAAATTAACTAATCTTTTTTCTCTCCTCATTAGGCTTAAATATTGTTAATTACATATACATAGCAAATCAAACCTTTTTTCCTTGCTGGATTCCTGGAAGAAGATGCACGCAGAACATCTCTCTTTGATCTGTATCTTCAATTGATGGTGACTGCAAAAGCACACTTCCAGATATACGGCTTGTAGGAACCTAGAAAGAAAGAAAGTAGAAAGAATATTAGAATATACATATTAGATTATACATCTTATACTAATCACAAGTTTGCATCAAAAGATGTTTGTGCTAATTACATCCATTTCTCGTAACTTCAATATATACTTCTGCTATCTATGGAAGCACCCAGGCAGTACTATTATATAGGATAATAGGCACAAATCGACAATGATAGATAACTCACGCTGTATGAGAAGCTAAAATCTGTATTTGACCATGAGAGAACATCTGACTCATACTTGAATGACAGAGAGTCCACTTGTCGTTTTCGTTCCTGAATGATACTAAAAATATTTCACGAATACAATCTCATATATCATCAAACTCTATATAATATATAAAAAGATTACCTTTAAAGGGTGACTAATAGTCTTACACAAGACTTCACTTCCATCACCTGGATGGACATTTAGTTGCATCTTCTCTTTTCTAGGTATCTTTTTGCTTGCAGGATTCACATACTCGGGAAAGCAGAATGGTACGCTCAGAGAGAATTCACCATCATGATACAACAACTTTTGCGACCAGCTTATTGTGATATTAAGGTTGGATCCACCATCAACCTTAAAGGTTAGAACGCACATGAGATCCAATTCTTCATAAACAAAAATAACTGATTACAAACATACTAGGAGGATTGACAACTCACCTGGGGAATTGTTAAGAAAAATATGTCAGGCCTCAAAAATCCTCCATCATCCCCACCTGATGCCTCCTCATCCTTTTCGTCTTCCCTGGAAACTAGTTGAGTACGATAAGACTTTTTAGGAACATCAATCTCAACACCTAGAATTGAACCCTGTTAGAATGACAGAATGTTTGAGAACACATGGATGGAGAAATCACAGCAACATGGATGGAGCTATAGAGATTATTATATGGTGTTAACTTGTTAAGGGAGAAAGAGGGGGAGATCATTCACAATTCAATAGACCAACTACATTAACTTGTTAAGGACCAGGTTGGGACAGTGATGAGATATTTAAGGTTCTAAAACAACCTATGGCTAAATGATAAAAAAAATAATTTTAAAATGTTAAAAAGTAACAGTGTTGAAACTCAGAGGTAAGGCTATACATAAGAGTTAGTCTTCTTTGATGCTCAAAGTGAGCATTGCTTAATAATACAGACTCGAAATGGAAAATGACAAATAATCCAACTAAATTGAGTCTAAGATCAATTAAACGGATAATAGCCACAGAGAAGTCTAGCTGTTGAGCATGTAGTACCACCATTATTCATTATGCATGAAAAGATTTCAATTTGTTCATATAGGTGATCACACTGATCAGAAAGGATTAACAAAATCAACAGAGGAAAGAAGAGGGAGGGGGGGGGGGGGGGGTTAAAACCCTTGCACATATGAAAATGAAGATAATTGCTTTTAACAGAGGGATACTATTGAAGAGATCTCATGATCCTAAAGCAAGGAAGAAAACGCTCACTTGGTTTATGACAGACATGCATCAAACACATTCACACCTTCACATACTAAAATCATACAGAACCATTGCAGGCAATTGACATTTAATCGGTTCAGCATTGACAAACTAGCATATACTCCTATGTATTTTTCATAAAGAACATTAAAACTGAATTAGTTTGAGAGGAGATGCGGATGACATTTTAATTTTTAGCATTTGATGAAAATCAGGAAAGTAGTGAAGTATATTCTAGCTGTCTGCACAGTCATCTTATGTCAGAGATTTACACCAGTCAACTTAGAAAGAAAACTCACTAATGGTTTATACAAGTATAACTTAGTAATGACAGTTATTTAACTAATTCAGGAGTCAGTAGTCAGTCACAATAAGAGACCATGAATAATTAAATACAGCTGGAAAAAAATCATAAACTCAGAAGTGCTCTATCTCAGCAGTGATGGATCTAGATATTAATTACTCGTATTCATTATCACCCTCAATTATAAACACAAACTTTGGGAAGAAAAATTGGCTAATATGTGGCCTAGAACACCAATCAGTATAATTTCTCCCTGCCCAAATATAAGTCTCCATTGATTTACTTCCTTTGTTATTGAAACCATGGAGATTATAGGAAGTGGGCCCCTTGCTCGACTCTTTCGATAGGAAAGAAAAAATTGTTTAGACATTAGTATCATTATATTAGTATAATATGGACTATGTGGTAAAGATGGCACTGGGCCATGCCGGGCCGAGCAGTACGAAAAATGCACGGCACGGCACCGGCACGGGCACGATGTAGGCACGACATGTTACTGTGCGTGTGGGTCGTCTTTATTTGGGAGAAGCACGATAAGGCATGGCACGGCACGACGGGCCCGGCACGACAAAGCATGCTAAAATCAATGCAATTTTGCTTAGGCACGCAAGCCCGGCACGATAGCACGTGGGCCTGGGCCGTGCACAGGCAAACCTTTTGAAAACTTCGGCCTGACACGAAACTCGTGGGCCGAGCCATGGGCCGGGCCTAACTAACCCTAAAGCACGTGGGGCCCACACGAGGCAAGAGCCACCTTTACCATGTGGTAGAGTAAGGAATAAGGAGGGATAAAATGAATACAGCAAAAGTAGGAAAATAAAAAAGAAATTACCTAAAGGAAAGTAGGAACAAAAAAAACAAAGGGAGGGAGTAAAACCCTTTAATAGATACTTGAATTTTCTCCTAAACAAATTTGGCAAATGGCCAGTGTAACATTATGCTCTGTATTCCAACAGTCAGATGATAAAAATTTCGAGTGTACCAGTAACAGCTTCTCATGTTAGATTTGTATAATACATCTAGAACACTTCTGTAATTTTCCTATTTATGCACTTGCCTCAACTCCATGCATCATATGAGCTCTATGAATGTCTTATTTGATAGGCATGTTCCCTAGTGTACATTATTGTTACAATCATTCCAAAATAAAGCAATCCATTTCTCTTGAATTGTCAAACTACCTATAAAAAATTACATCATTACCCCCAAAATAAATTCACTGTTACTGTTCCAAAAAAAAAAACTTACTTTCTTCCTACTTATGTATCTCATAGCAGTTTCCTGAAATAGTAACAATTTAGTTGCAGCTTCTTATTCTTCACAAGATTCCAACAAAATTCATTTATGTCTAAGAAATTTCGCCTTCAAACATAACAAAACTTTTTTCTTGGTACGAAAACTCTTAAACGCAAATGGAATGGAGTTGTCAAAAACTGACCCCGACCTAAGATTATTCAACACAACCGGATATCATTGTACACGACTAACATAACTCATACTAACACGACCTGACCTGATTTAACACGAATACTCGAATTGACAGCTCTAAATTCATATTCTCTGACAGTCAGACCAATTCATACCACTCCAAATATTTTGTTTTTTCTCAGGATCAAAAAACATCAATCAAATTAATCAATAAAAAAAATCGAAGAGAGAAAATAAAATAAAATCGAAGATCACCTGCTCACCCATAGGAACAGCAAGACGGCAATCACAGACCTTACTTCCCATAACACAATGAACTCGCCATTGACCAGAAACCCTAACAAAAACCGTATCCAAATAACAATCAACCTCCATTGAAACACTATTCATCTGAAGCGGAATCAACGCCGGAGGATCACATCTACCATAGACATACGGCTGGTAGCTCGGAATATCAGGATTATCGACGATTCCGGGGTCGGTGATTACGGCGTAAACCATTGGAGCTGTTGGAAGGTAAAAACTCGGATTCTTCGACATCGATGGCGGAGGTTTTGGCGGTGCTACTGACCTATCTTTGCCGAAGTATAATCTCTTTGAGAGCTTCAATCCTTCTTCTACCGCCTCCATGAAAGCTTCTTCAACTGCTGCCATTGATGAAAGTAGTTGATTTTCAGGGTTTGGAGATCGAAGAAAGAGGAGAGAGAAAATGAGAGGAGAGAGAAAGAGAGAGAGTTGTTATGGAGCTGAGAATAAGTTCTGGAAAGAGAGAGGAATGGAAGGTGTGTTAGATTGGAGAAAAAGGTAACAGAGAAATACAGTTAGGCATTTACGATTCATTTCATGATTAAATGAATGGACTGTTGAAGTACTCGTATAAGATAAAGTAATTATTTTTTTAATGATATGATAATTAATACGTAATAAATATAAGTATGATTGAGTTAGATTCGCCTCAATATCTACTTTTCAGATATCAATCAATACTCGTATTAATTTTTTATAATTTTGTACTAAAATATAATATAATTAAAAATAAAAATATTAGTCGTTAAAATAATGTACTCCGTATGAAATCACGGTGTAATTAAAAAAAAGAAAATAATAAAAATAATCATAAATTCATAATCATTAATTTGGGGATTATTTTACATTTATTTATTTATTTTGGGGGTAAATCTATTGAGTTGGTCAACCATGGGGCTTGTAAGTTTTATTTTTTAGGTTGGAACAAAAAAAAGTGTACTTGATGTTAATTAGAATGTGTTTAATGAATTTGATGATGATTATAATAATTAATAATGTGTTAACCTTAAGTAAAAAGGTGAGAAAGAATGGATGTGATAAAGATTATGATAATGACAGTATACACTATCATAAGAAGAATAATTATATTCTACTAACTTTTTCTAACTTTATTTGTGATTTAATTGATTGCTATTTAAAAATACTCCATAAGAATGAAACTAATTGAATTATTAGAGATTACTTCGTAAGGAGTATTTGCTACGGAGTATTAATGGTTCGTCCATGACAGTAATCAAATAGATTAATTGATATTATTAGTATTAAAATATTATGTATGACCTCCGTTATTATTATTTGCAATATATATATATATATATATATATATATATATATATATATATATATATATTACAAATAATACCCTTTGTTATAAATAATAAGAAATTGAGGTAGTATGACATTTTATTTATATTAATATATCCTTACTTTATTTTTATTATTATTTTAGACATTTTGTTTGATTTTTTCTGACTTATATTTTAGGAAATTTTTAGTTTTCCTTTTTTTTTTTTTTTTACAACAGTTTTTCCTTCTTTATTCCATTGAAATTTCACTAAACAAAATTACTTTGCTAATTCTCCAAATAAAAAGGGGGGGGGGGGGGATTCTAGGATTGATCAACTGAATACATAATACTCCATAATTGAGTAGGACAAAGTGAATTGAACCGATTTTCTAGTTCTATGGGCATGTAAATAGTCTCTTACAACAAATCTATGGATTTTTTTTTACTAGAATATTTACTTTTCTTTTTACCAATATTATTTTGATCCGCAGAAGTTTTAAAATAGGTATAAAAAAAGTGCGTTTTGTGTACGCTGGTCACACTATATGGCCGCTTGAAAAAAAACAAAGTAATCCTTATAACACTGACTGAGTAACTCGTGTAATTCTAACCAAATAACCCCTATAACACATGAAATAATTCATGTAATATTGACCAAGTAACCCCCTATTACGCCAACGGAGTAATCCTTATGGTGTGGCCAGCTACATATAAGAATTTATGATAAAAAAATTCTACAAGTATTATCAATCATTTAGTTTTTGAAGCAGAGATAGGAGTGTTTATCTATTAATTAATAAAAATAATATTAATTTCTTGTAAAAAATAATTATAATATTAAGGAAAATGCTATACATAGCTCTTAGAGCTACATATAAGCATTAAAAACACACTAGAAAATCATATAAATTTAAGAAATCATAAAAATATAAACACTAATTACACTGATTTACACGTGTTTTTGTCATAAATTCCTAATTTTATACAATTTTCAAGAATTTATTTAATGCTTATATATAACATTACCCAAATATTAATGATCAAAGTTATGAATTTAATAAACATGAAAATCAAAATAGTTTTGTGTAATCATTTACCCCAAAGCAAAATCAAGTATCTTCCAATCTTGGAAAGGTCACTAATCTTAATTTAATTGAAGCTCCAATTCCCAGATGAACACATATACTTTGTCAAAGCAAAGAATGAGCAAAACAAAGAGGTGACCGTTGGAATAGAGTAACGTTAGGGTCACGTGAGAGGAGGTGAGGTATCTTTTTCAAAATGACGTTATCGTATAACGGTAACTTGATCAATGAACAGTCATGTGAAAACGCGGGGATTGTGAATACCGGTAAATTTATTAAACTAATGGCGCGCTGTCACATATGGATGTTACGATTGATTACACGTCGCCAAATTATATTTGTATATATACTCGTGTCCAATAATAATACAATATTATACTTATTTCTTCTTATATACGGTTTTCAATACATACTTTTCAAAAAAAAAAAAAAACACGTACCTTTTATCATTTTTTTACCGGAAGAAATAATTTGATTAATAAATATCAATACGACATCTACAATAATACCAATATGATATCTACAATAATAATAATAAAGATTTGTAAGCTACAAATTTAGAAAAATTAATAGAACTTTTATAATCAAAATCATAACTAATTTGCATATCTGGCATAACTCTCACTCCATCGCTTCAACCTTAACGCGAATAGCGATTTTCGATGTCTTTGCATCTTTTCAAGTAGAGACCTTCGCAATCTGCGCTAATTTTTTTATCGTAGAGTTGATGACAAACCCTAAATCCATATGAATCCAAATCATTTTCCCAATTATTATTAGAACCCTAACTCATCCATAGATGAGAATCAAAATCCCAAAAAAATAGGAAAACCCCAAAAAAAATTGAGACATACTCTCACAAATGAAGAGAACAAAGCAGAGCAAAGCAAACTAAAGAAACGGGGTCGAAAATAGTCTAATTTCCGGCATAAACGACCAAGAAAACTAAAAACCCTAGAGGAGAGAAGAGAGAAAAGGAGAAGATTAATACGTTTAAAATTATACGTACCTTTTATCATCAATATATAGTTTTAATTTTCACAAAAATTAAAAACATAATGATATATGTAATCGTTAGACCCTAAGCCTATAAATAAGCATTTAATGTATTTTTTTAATTTCATATGAAGTATTAATTTAGATTTGTATGATAAAGTCAGGCATAAAGCAGTGTAATTAATGCTATATATTTATTTGTTTATATTTATTTATTTTATTTTATTTTTCAATTTTAGCTCTTAATACTTCGTCTAATTTTTCAAATTAAAATTATAAAGAATTGGTATAGTGAAACAAACATTTTGAGATGACTCTAACAATTTTCTACAATTTTTATACTTATAATAATAATAAATTTTGGGTCAAACTTTATAAAATGTGACCTAAATAAAAATGACTACTTATTACTTTTTTTTTTTAACAAACTATGTATTATATTATATACAAGGGAGTATTATATTATATATTTGATTGGATCAAAAATAAATTAAAGTTGATGCATAATGTAATATGAGTAAGTTTTTATTTATTTATGTGATGTAATAAACTTTTTGTTTGAGGCAATTGCTGTTTTCGTCGTTACTTGACATTTTAGTGGGCATTTACTTTTTTTGTTTCAGAATTAGATTTTTTTTTTCATTAATATGGATGTTAATTGAACTTAATTGGCCAACTATTGGATGATTTGGTTGTCCTCACTCTAATTGTATAAATGAAAGTTGGTGGTGTTTGTACATCATGGGCCAATGACACAGATCATACAGTCCATTGTCACTCTATATATTAAAAATTGTCTCATGCTGATGCCGTTTAAGTGTAACTAGATTAATCTTGTGCGTTGTATGATTTAAACAAATAAAAATTTCTAAATTTGTTTATTTTTTTATACCGAAAGAAGAAAAAAAAATGTTCTCAAAACAAATAATACATCAAATACTTATAAAAAAAATTTAGAGCTCATTGAAAAATTGAATGATAAAAGGGGTACCTAAGGAAGAAAAATTAAATTATTATTGTTAGAGAGAATAAACCGTTTCGGGAATTATTATTGTTATTCGAGAATATGCCGACTTTTTATATCTATGTATTTAGATTCTTAGCACTTTTCCGATTAATTCTTGTTTGATTTTGTTAAATCTGTTTTAATTATTGTTATTTATCAATTGTAGATGTCATATGACTTTAATTAATGAAATTTAGTGTCCTTTTGGACTTCTTTCAAAAAAATATATATATATATATAGCTTACTAGGATTTTTATAAAATAAAATAAAAATCAGAAAATTATGACATCATTTATAATTTTGGAAGGAAAATTTTTAATGACAACATAACATATGTCTAATTTTAGGATAGGATGATGTCAGCAGTTGCTATTTTAATATTAGTTATAGATAGATAGAATGTATTTTTTTTTAACAAACATTGATTCATAAATAAAAAGTCATACGACATCCACACAGAGATTTATATCAGACAAATACATGACAATTGAATCAAATAAAAACATCCTTTCAGCAAAGCTATGATTGATGTTGCAAATCATACATTCTTTATACCCTTTTTCACATCGTTGTGATTTACAGCCTTCTTCGACGAGGGGGTCTATCGATCTGTTGTAGCCGTAAAGAAAATTTTCGCCTGATTCGTCTGGTTGTAATCGAAAGATTAATCTCTTTCTCGATTCCGCACAAATCTTTACTCATGAAACAACTCTATAGCAATCCATTAAACAAAAAAGCAAATCCTCTCTCAAAAGAGAGAAGAAAAACCTTTTCTTTGAGCGATTTCACTCAATAATGTTGAAACAAAAACAAATTCCCATTATGCACCCATTTAAAAATAAATTCCCAAAGTACCGTCCATGTAGGATTGGTATTTGATTTGGCTTAAAACCGCTAATGTTGTTAAAGGTTTTATGTTAAAATCGCTAGCAACATTAGCGGTTTTGTATTTTTTTTTTTTTTTTTAAAAAAAAAAAGCAAAGAGACTTGTTATTAGTGAAATCAGGTCTCTTTGAACTTAACAATACTAATATGAGCGCTCTCTGTTCTGCTTATGGTTTTAGAAAAGAGACCGCCTTTTTCTATTAACAGGTCTCTTTGCCTCCTTACTTATTTTCCCTTCCTTTTTACCATAAAAGGAGACCTATTAATAGAAAAAGGTTGTCTCTTTTCT